GGCTGATGGTGATGATAAAAAAAGAGAAATAAAATGAAATAGATGTGAAATCTATTGATTTAGGATTCCTTTATTTAAAATTATTCAATGTTTCATTTCGATCATTACCTCACACTTCTACTGAAACTAAGAAAGTTTATACCAGATCAAGATCTCAAACTACAAAACTCAAAAGTGTGTTGTTAACTGTTATTTTGCTTCCCTTAGTGTAAGTAAATATTCTGATTAGTTTGAAACTATTAACCATTACTTCCCAGTTTTGACCTAAATGAAGGACTGTTATTAATTTATTAAAACATCTGTGTTAATTATTTGACGGTGGGCCTTACCAGAAAAATAAGATTGAATAATGTTATACGAATGAGATAAAGTTGGTAGGTTATATTTAGATTTGGGGTTGCTGAAGTCACAGTTGCTTTTACAGCTTGCCAATTTTTGTATTGGATCATAATGTAATTTGAAAAGTACTAGAGACATTAAAATTATGCATCACATAATCAAAGCAAATATATTTACTCAATGGGGTACCGAAAACCATGCTCTAACGGAATATTTGGGAGCTAAGTTTTAATCTGAATTAATTTGGCTTTTGTTTCAGTTTCATACAAGAGACAAGTATATACAATTCTTAAATAAATACTTGTTATGTGTTATGATATGAGTAAACTTATGCATTTTTTGCATTCAAATTCCTTGAACATTAGAACTTAAATCGACCCCTGTGTTAGGGGAGTAAGAACATGGTAGGAAGAAATGATATTCTAGGTCAATATGGATGAGAAATAGAATAAAAAAGAATAACAAAACTCACAATGATAAAAATGGTTCATTCCCCAAAGAACCTCATTAGTGTCATAATTCATGCACTACCTAAATTGTCTAAAATGACCACAACAGTTTTACTAATACTTTTTGGTTAATTAATTCAGGTCAATAGCAGACAGCAACAGATACCCACAACTAGCATATGCGGGCAAAGCATTGGCAGGAGGCATCAAACCAATCTATTAGTCTTTTTTACTAGCTAAAAACATTACCTACCTCCCAGCCAGTACTCTGTATAATAAAAAGTAAAAAAAAAAGTATGTAATAGAAACAAATGCAGAACTTTCTTGACGTGCCATCAACAATACAGCAGTATACATCTACAATGGTTTAAAAGATTTTTAGGGGCCACGTATTTATATTATTTTTTTTCATTTTGATGAATGAATGAAGACTAACTCTAAGGATGTGGCGATACATGTCTGCCTCCTATATAGATGTTTTAACTCAAGGGTCCCCAACCCCTGGTCCATGGACCGGTACTGGGCCGCAGTACGTCAGCAACCAGGTCGCACAAAGCCCCATCTGCAGAATGTCTGGTCCACGGAAAAACCTCTCCCCACTTAACCGGTCCCTGGTGCCCAAAAGGTTGGGGATCTCTGTTTTAACTATTCCTTTCTCTTCATTGTGAAGTTTGAAGGGGAACATGATAAAGTCCCCGACAAAAAATGTAAAAGTTTTAATGATAGGAGTTGAGGGATTACAGTCCTGGGCTCCATTGCATTGGCAAATATACACAAACTCCTGGCCCAAACACACACACACTGTGTGTGTGTGTGTGTGTGTGTGTGTGTGTATGTGTGCAATTATTCTTTTTTTATTATAAAGTTCTGAGAATCAAATGAGAATATGAAACCTCTCTTACCACTGCAACATATTCACCATTTCAGCCTGAGACCCAGACTAATGTCAGACTGGAGAAATTAAAACTTTGTGCATGAGTTATGCAATACTTTTTATGCAGTATTTGTTATGCAGCAATGCAGGTACAGGTAGTCCTTGACTTATGACCAATCATTTTTACGACCATTCGTATTTACGATGGGCTCAGCACCAAAAGTGTCTCCAGCCATCGTAAATGGTGAAGCCCTCATCCCCACCCCACCCACCCCCGTGGCTACATGATTGCATTTCAGGTGCTTAGCAACCTGTTCACATTTACGATCCGTTGTCAAGTGCCCTGCAATCGTGTGATCCCTGTTTGCGATCTTCTCTGCTGGCTTCCCCAGAAAGTGAATGGTGAAGTCAGAAGAAGCCAGCAGGGAAGATTGCAAGCAGAAGGAATGGAGGATTTGAGGTCTGTTTCCCCAGCGCACTGGGGAATTTCCCCTTCTCTCCTAGCAGAGAACAGAAATCCTTCACACACTGGAGGAACGGACCTCAAATCTGGCAAAAATATATATTAAATGCCAGCCTTCTGAGTCTTTCGTCTACTATCGTTTGGGGAAGGGTGAACACCAGTCAACACCAGTCTTCAGAAAGGCTCTGAAGGCTGGCCTCTGAAGGAAGCAGCATTAGGGGAGGGAACAACACCCATTAATGCCAGGCTTCTGGAAGGCTCGAACAGACCTTGTGTCTGGCTGGTGAAAGCGATCATTCAGAAGGCCCTTTCTCCAAATTGCTTGATTTGGAGAAGGAGCCTTCTGTACCATTGTGAGAATGGGGTTGACTTGCAAGGTGGAGTTAGTGGCCTTGGCAATCAGGAGCTGCAGATTAACACAAAAGTAAGTGGATCTGGTCTGTGTGAGGAAAGGAAAGGGACCAGGTCTCCCAGGCATGGCGGGATGGGGGAGAGGGGCCAGGCCTCATGAGTGTAGTGAGAAGTCCTGACCCATCATGCCCAGAACGCCTGGACCCTCTCCCTGGCGCTCCACTTAATGACAGCAACTGGGAGACCTGGGATTGCAGTTGTTTAGCAAAGCGGTTAATAACCGCTTTCCGCAACAATCAAGATTCTGGGCCCAATTGTAATAGTAGTCCTCCACTTATGACCATAATCATAAAAAAAATATTGTTAAGAGGGGCGTCACATAACCACACTTGATTTTATGACCTTTGGCATGGTCATTAAGTGAATCACCCATAACTGATAAAGCAAGACACGTGTGACAGTGACTTGCAACCTCCTGCCGGCTTCCCCATTGATTTTGCTTGTGGGAACCTGGCTAGGAAAATCACAAAAGTTTATCACATGCCTGTAGGATACAGCAACTATTCTAATTGGGAACTGGTTGCCAAGGGCCCGGATTGCGATCACGTGTCTGCTGGGATGCTGCAACGGTCACACGTGGTTATAAGTCACTTTGTTTTTTAGCACTGTTGTAACTTTGAACCGTCGCTAAACGAATGGTCAAGTTGAGAACTACCTGCAAGATACTGGTTTCAGAGAATGTCAGTATACAAATAAGAATAAAGTTCATTTTGTACAGACAATGAAGGTGTTTTTAATTCATTTCATAATCATCACAAATTATATAAATGATATATTTCTCCAAGTTCTATAAATGGTATTTACAATACCATATATGCATTTTGCCAAGAAAACTGCAGACCAAAGATCTAAGAAATATCAAAGCAGCCTCTGAAGATATAGGCAGCACCAAGCCGGGGGGGGGGGGGGGAGTTGTTTCAGTAAAATTAGGGTGTGCAGGTCTGATAAATTCAAAATTTCCAAATATTGGGAGAGTCCTTTAAGTATTGCTCCAAGGACTCCAATCATGATGACTATAATAGTGGAATTATGTTTTCATTAGTATTCAATCTGCAAGTCCTATATTTCACATTTTTTTTTCAGATTGCTTTTCCTCAATCCTAGCATCACCCAGAATAGCAACATCAATGACCCAGACTTTCTTCATTTCAATAGTTGTTATATCAGGATGTTATGACCAAGGTGCCTATATGTTTGGATTTTAAAGTCCCATAAGATCTCCATCCATTCATTTTCCAAAACCTTCTCAACTTGGCAGTCCCAATAGTTTTTGCTAAATTCAAATCTAATCATCTGGCTTATTATGGTTATGGTTATCTCTTTTGCTTCAAGTCTGGTTGCAAATGCATGTAAAAAGGAAAGCCTCGAATAATCTCATCCATGTCATCCAAGGTTAAATCAGTGCTGATGCAAAACCAAATCAGAAGGAAACACAGCATTGGAGCTGAATCTGGGCCAGAAAGGAACTATGGGAGTCTTACATGTCTGGTAACCAAGAAACTAGAAGTTTTTCAAGCAGTCCAGAATCAGAGTTTATTCTCTAACCTTTTAAAAAGGGATAATTATTTGTAGTAGAACACTCTCAATAGTAGAGACATCGATATCATTTATGTTGATATAATAGCTTCTCAAACAGATTCAATGGTTAATAAATTCCACACATCCTACTTTTGATATGGTTAGATTTCATGTTTGGAAGACGCTAGAAAAATTAAATTACAATGGTCTAGTTTAACTTTTAACTTACAACCTGGTCTTACCACAGTTTACTGGTGTTATGATGCAAATTTCTTTTGCTTTGCCCATGTTGTAGAGAGCTTACTAGCTGCTGCTAGCTTTTAGCAATAGGAAGCCATGCAGTTCTCTACATCCAAAGATATAGCCGTCTATGTTCCCAGGACGCAAGACACAGGCATCAGCTGCAGGACCTAAAATTAGGTACCTGCCAATCAACTCCACTGAGCACTCAACGTATTGAGTTTGGAAGCTCCAGCATAGCTGCAAGTGTGTAGTGGTTTGTGTTTTTAACTGAGAGTTGGTACAGTTTCAGTTGGTTTTTGCTTTAATGTAATTCTTTGTTTTTGTTGTTCACCATCCAGAGTTTCTTGGATAGATGATTATATAAACTGGATAAATGACTAAAACCTAATGGGAAAAATAGCCCACATAGTAATTGCACTCAATTCTTTCATGTTTTGTGGAGCCAGCTTTCTACTTGTACAATAGGCACAGAACAGAATGTCCAATGGACACAATAATTGCCACCTGACTTAAGTAGGTGGCTCTAGAGAAATTAGAAGAACTATCTAGCCATTGTTTTGTCACCTGAGCTGATCGCACATTTTGTAATGCAACCCATGGACATCTCTTATAGTGTGCCCTTCTGATAAAGTGCATTGGCCTAATAGAAAATCAGGCTGATATATTTTGCCACGTTCTCCCCTATAGATCCCACAGGCATTACCTGATGAACTATCTTGCTGAATGCATCCTGGAGTTTACCATGAATTGTGGCCAGTTTCTTGGCATCTCTGTTAGCTTCATGAATTGGAATAAGGATTTTGTAAACTTCGTTGACCGCTTCATACATACCAGCCTACAAAAGACTACATGTCAGATGGATCTATTGCTTCACCAAGAAAATAAACATCCTAAGTGCAACACATGATAAAAATGCTTCAATATGACAAAGAAATTGAGAAGCTCGTTTGCAATACTTTTGTAACTATAAGAGAATGTAATCTAGGGCACAGAGCAATTCTGAGTGTTCCTTTCAACACATTCCATGAAAAGGCATTTAGGAATTCATCCCTCCATTTCCCTCTTTCCACTACCTTTCAGAGGGTTGAAAAAAATAGCCCCATTATTTAGGCCCTCCTTGTCTTCAAATCTCTTTCACTTTCAGCCTGAACAAGATTTCAAAGGAAACACGGTGCTGAACAAAATAGCAAAATTTGAGCACGTTACAATTGCATCTTGGCTAATTAAAAGTGTTTGAAAGCTGACTTTGCTAACTCCCTCAATATCACAAAAATATGTCCTCTTATCCATATACAATCCAGTCGATATTCTTTCCACTCCTATTACATTTCAGTTCAGTTAAGCAGCTGAAATGTAAACATTCTGGTTGAGATGTTTCATGTTTACCTCTGAGTGCTCAGTGCTTTCAGATATGTACATCATATATCACCTCTACTAGGTAGCTATAAGGAATTACCAGACGAAATAAAGAAAGCATAAAATTCTTCTACCATGGAGAAACAGGCTGCAGCTTGCTCCAGCAGTCCAACCAGACCCGCTTCAGTAAAATACTTTCCAGAACAAATCCCTTCTTCATCTGGAGAGACCACATCATCAGAAACTGCAGATTCTTCTAGAACATTTGAAGAGACATTCTGAGGAAACATAAAGTAATTACTTTCACTGGTATCAATATGCAATCTCTTGGCCAAAGCACTAAATCTTTTCTTGGATATGCAATTATATTTCAGCATAATGGGCTATTCTGGTAATAAAAGCCATAATTCCCTGTTTTGGTTTACCAATGAGAATCTCCAGAGACAGTGAAAATTAAGAAAAGTTATTACGGTGATGTCCAGATTATGCCTCAAAGTTATCATTTTGTTTTGAAAAGCAATTGGCTTAGGTTAATGTAGATGAACACTCATTCATGGAGGGCATACAGTTAAATATATATGGATTGTGATAACACACTATTTGTGACCATTGTTACGTAACTTTCCCCAAACTTTGAATCCATGAACTTTCTCCTACTTGCTGTAACTTCCATTGGGACTGATGCAATCATTCTGTGGGCTTCATCTAATATAGTACCAGCATTTCTTGGTATTTTTTTCATTGCTGGTATGACTGCTACAATTGCAACAGTTTATCTTTCTGTATTGGACATTCTTTGAATTTTGTCAAAATAGTCAGTAAAAGAGCCAAACCACACAGTTTGCTCGAGATGAACCTTCCGACCCTAACGCAAGATGACCAGTCAGTTCTTGATCGAGATAGTTAGACATTTGGGAGGTGTAATTCTAATATATGCAATAATGCAATCATACACATTCCACTGGGAAGACCCCTGCAAATGGAGAAATATCCAAGTAGCTTTCCTACCAGGAACATCAAGAGAATGTTCTCTTAAAATGAGGCATTATGGGGCCAGTCAGTAGTCGCTAAGAGATCACTGAATTTAAATCAAACAGATTTCCCGAGGGGCAAGTCCCGTCCTTCCTGAAGCTAGTGTAGTGTATAGCTAGTCTTTGACTTACAAACACAACTGGGCCTAAAATGTCTGTTGCTAAATGAGTTTTGCCCCGTTTTATCACCTTTCTTGCCAAAGTTGTTAAGTGAATCATTGCAACTGTTAAGTTAGTAACATGGCTGAATCTGCGTTCCCCCTTGACCAGGGGTAGGCAACCTTGGCTCTTTTATGACTCGTGAA